ACGACTCGACCTCAAGCGCCGGCTGTTCGCGCACCTCGACGCAAAGACCCCGGCCCACGTCCTTATCGCCTCCTCCTCCTCCGGCCTCCCGGCTAGTCAGTTCGTCACCGACTGCACGAACAACCCGTCTCGCATCCTGATCGGCCACCCCTTCAACCCGCCCCATCTCGTGCCGCTGGTCGAGATCGTGCCGCACCCCGGCACCGCGGAGGGATACGTGACGGCCGCGTACCGCTTCTACGAGAGTCTCGAGAAGGACCCCGTGGTCGTCCGCCAGGAGACCCCGGGGTTCATCGCCAATCGTCTGCAGGCGGCGGTGTGCGCGGAGGCGTACAGTCTCGTCTCGAGGGGGGTGGTCTCGCCTGAGGATCTGGGTAAGCAGCCCACCAACCCCCGGCCCGACGTGACGTTTTTTCCTAGATAATAATAACGAATGATGCTGACGGAGTAGATAAAACCATGACCTCCGGCCTCGGGCTCCGGTGGGCGCTCAACGGGCCGCTGATGACCAATACCCTCGGCGGGGGGGCGAGCTTTGCGCATTTCATCGATCATCTGGGTCCCGCGCTGAAGTCGTGGTTAGACGATATGGAGGCGCAAAAGTTTGATTGGGGCTCGAAGAGTACCGTCGAGGGGTTGAAGGATACAGTTAATGCATGGGTATCGCAGGTCGATTTGAAGGCGGTCGCAGGGCGGCGGGATGTGCTGTTGGCTGATTTGGTCAGGAAGAAGCTTGATCGGGTGGAGGAGTCGTGATAGGATGCATATATTCTCCGAGGAGGGGATGAGGGTTCCACTGTGTAGATATGTACAGCACTTAGCATTAATATTTCCCACTGATTTAGTAACAATGGTCAAGTGGACACATCTTAGGGTCTAGAATTCTCTTCCGCGCGAGTGCCTATCCAGTCAGTTTCGCCCAGGTCGTCAAAGTGAACAGCGTACCGGGAGAAGAGAGGTAGTGCTGTTCACTCGCACATCCCAGCGTGTCCGGTGCGCTCCTTACATCCATAGACCTCTTTTGCTTGTACCTAGCAAACCTGTGTTTTTCTTATTGTGGAATACAATTTCTGCCCAGGCTATCGTATCAGTGTCGCGACACTGCCCGAAGTATCGTAGGCTTAATATACGCAGACCAGACATAGGGCCCTGTATCGCACAGTTCATGCCCGCGGAAGGAGAGACTCGGAAGCATCTAGCGAGAATCTCTTGTTGAGCATGATCGCCGTCGTCGCATGAATGTATAGTACAGTAGTCCATCGCACCGCCCGCGCGGGGTCCCACGATCTAGTCCTCTGTCTTTGCGTTGAGATCAGACATCCTGAGGTAAGGACACCTGCTTTCATCAACCGCGGAGAAAGGCCCTTGCAATACCCGCCGCATTCAAGCCATAGGCACCGAAGGGATGCCCATCTGTCCGAGGTCGGCCTGTGCGATGGAAGACCAAGTTTCCAGGCGAGGCTAAAATAGCACACAGCTCAGCGCGGCAGCGACGAATTCCCATCGACCTGCCCGGCTCTCCAATCTATAGTAATTTGTAGGTACTACCCGAAAGGGAAAATGGGGTTATGAGCTGGGGAATCAAGGGCATGGGCCAGAGGCAGGCTAGTTGGGGGTCTACCCCACACGGATCCCCGAGTCCCCGGCCGCTAGCCTTCTTCTGATCGCGGCTCGTTGATCAGCGAGGAAGCGAGATACCATCGCGCACGCGAGGAACATATGATTTGACCATCGTGCACGATCGGGGAAGCTGAGGCGGGTCTTGTGTTGGAGTTTGTCGGGTTCTTAGGGCTGGGTGGATACGCTTCTACTGTGCTGCCTCAAGATGCACTTACTCCCCTAACCGATGCAGTCTGAATCCCCGATACAGGGTTGAAGACCGACTCCTCTTGAGCGTGTTTCTCTCGTGCCTTTCTGTCTGTCGTGAAGTCCTAAGGTCAGTAATCGGGAGAGTAAGCAGCAGATACTATATCCGCGGAGATACAAGCCGCCCGTGGGACGCCTGAGGCCCGCCCCGCGCCCTGTCGACCCCATGTGGCGGGACTATCTTATCTGGAGGATGCGTCTCGATAGTAGTGTCTCAGCGCCTGACAATCCGGTGGTATGGTGGGGGGTCAGCCAAAGCTTCGAGAACTAGTCCAGGCTGGATCGATGCCTTTGCAGGACGCAACCGATGGACGATGATAGGTCAAAGAGCCAGTGGAGAAAGCATAAATTAAAGTACCTCTCGTCAGCCATGCACCCATCGCCGCCACGTGTTGGCTGACGTGATCTGAGGGCTGACTGGCTCATCGGGAGTACTTCTTCCAGGGGTTCGTCGTTCGTATCTGCGCGGCAGGGTGTCTCCGTTCGTATCAGATTCTATTGTCAATGCTATTCTCATATGTTATGGTACATAAGAAGATCGCTCTACGGCTGATGCTACTGTACAGTACAATCAATCTCGTATCCACCAGCCAGGATAAGATAACCCGCAACGGACAAAGGACCCGGACGTGGTGTGCTGCTAAGCGAAGATAACGTTAACCTTGCCAATTTGCGCCAAGACGCCGATATCAGCCTTGCGCCAGCACTGCCACACATCCCACTCCCCGGTCCAGCCTGTCAGCATCCTTCCAGGCGTGGGGCGCCCATTCTTCACCTCTCGCCTTTAGCCGAATCGAGTTGGGGCGGAAACTATCTCCTGAGAACCCCGCCGGCGCTAGGCCAGTTCGGAGGAACGGTTGGAGAGAGTCCCAGACTCCCAGGGTCTGATCGATCACCAACGCGGCAGAGCGTTGAGATTGAGAAAGCCCCTCTTTCTGTTTTGAGAACGGGTCGAAAATCTCGCTTAACCCTCAGCCTCACGCTACACACCGCATTGGACCCGTCCAATAGACCGGGTGCCCTCAGTGGGGCCATGTTTCTGGACGGTTCGGCAGGGCCGAAAAAAGGATCAAGGATCACAACGGGCTGCAAAAATAAAGCCCTCCGTTGGGCAGAAGGATTGCAAGTGGGGTGGGGTGCCGACGAGCTGAAGAAAAATTAGACTTGGTCCATGAGACCCCTAATTAGACCGCTTTCTCATCATCGAGTTGCAGGGCTGCCCGTCGCAGGCTTCGAAGCCAGTCGAAGTGCGAAGACAGGTCATCGAGGAAGGTGTAGTCCCCGTCAATGTTGAGGATTCGTGCTGTGGATGCTTGCCGGAAGTAAAACCAGGTCCGGATTTGAGAATCGCTCGACGCGGCAGCGCCAGTGATGCAGGCCCACGTGTGAGGCACGGGAAAATGCCGCAGCCAGACCTCCTCGTCCGTCAGGGCTAGCGCATCTCGCAGGTTCCTCGCCAATGCGTCGAGGTACTCAACAAAACTGCACCCGTTGGCCCCGCCATCGGCGATCGTCTGGAAAATCTTGCAAGCGAGATAACAGCACTGGTAGATAGGGTCCTCAGTGGTGGGAGGAGGCATTGTGCGCGTCGCTGGCGTGTCTTGGCGCCAGTGATCCGTTGGATGGGAAGTCATTAGATGAAGCTTTGTCTGGTGAACATGTTGGAAGAGGGCCTTGATCGAGCAAGTGAAGTTGTCGGGTCCAGGTGGCCTTGTAGGCATGTTGAGGATCCGTTCTTCGAGGCTGAGTGGAGGCATGAGCTGAAACTGAGGTCCGGTGCTCAACCCCAAATCAAAGACGATATTCGACACGATTCGGTTCCTGTGATTCAGAGAGTCAGTCACCCGCTCTAAGGAAAGGAGGGAACGCCCCGAGAAGACCAAACGAACATGTGGATGAGTGATGAAATTAGACCGTCCAAGCCCAGGTTGTGCATCCCGCCCCGTAGCAGAACCATGTTTTCCAGGCCAGCTCGATGTACTTCAGCTGAAGCTCGATCACCACCAAGATTCTGGACCTGTCGTCAGCCGTACTTTATCTTCCGGTGTAGAGGGAAGGAGAATGATTGCATACAGCAAATAGTGCCAGTGGGGTGATGGAAGCGATCGTGCGATCGTCCAACGCGGTCGCTGGGTCGGCAAGTCGCTTTTTGACCAGCTTGATCAGCTCATTATAGTGGTAAAGGGTGATCATGCTTTGCTTCTGTCCCCGACAGATATCAAAGTGTGAAGACCCGGCGAACAGCGTGGCATGAAACAGGCAGGGATCTTCCATAGCGCTTCTCAGCCAAACGGTCTGCAGCTTGTAAGCACTACATTTGGCGGTGACGGGGATCTGGGCAACACCAAGTCCGTTATGAACTAAATCCCGTGGCTGGTCAGCGCAAGTGAAGACAGGACTGGGGATACATTCTCACAGTGTTTGATCAACTTTGGCATGTACCAGCGGTAGGCGATGGGATACGATTCCGGGACGGTCGGAGACTGTATGGCCCAGGACAAAGACAGTTGGTCCGACACGGCTTCCCATGAATCCGGGCTGATATCTCTTGGATTCTCCTTGCAGTATTCGACCGCGACAGGGGCATTGAGCTTTTGTTTCTCGTGGATCGGGTCAGTAACCCGATAGATGGCGTAAAAACACTTGCGGCCAGTCCTGAAGAATCTCGGTTAAGATGCGCGGCTGAAGATAAGCAAAGGGGGGGGGGGGCGTAACTTACTTGTGACACAGGGCGCATGATGGGTATGCTCGGTCGCATTTCCTCTTTCGCTGGCGACAGGACTCACAAGCAACAAGCATAACCTTCATTGTGATTGCAATAGTTGAAATGAAGATGGGAAGGGCAGAGAGGGAAGGGTAAGTGTGTACTAGGTAGAAGTGAGTAGTAGATTGGTGATTTACCGGTCTGCAGCGTAGACAGCAGTAGATCTGAGGTAGTCTAAGCGGGGTCTAGCCGTTTTAGTCCCTGATCTTCCTGGCTCTCCTCAGCCAACCTCTTTCCTTTCCTCAGGCAGCAAGTTTCTATGCCGAAGTCTATACATGAGCATACATCAGCATACATCAGCAAACATCAGTCCACTCCTGCACCTGCCAGATTGCTTACCTCTGCATCTTCTCTATCGTCATTTCTTGTGTGCCCCCTTGCAAAATTATGCCCCAAGATATATTTTCTCTGATAAAGTTGGGAGCGCTGCTTCTCGACCATAATCGTGCAGAGAAAAAGTGACTGTGGTTCATCAGACCACTCCTGATCAAGAATAGAAGCCATGTTTGTATTGCAAGAATTATCTGTATTATCGCTGTCATTACTCAGTTCAATGGTTCCATGCTTGGAAAAGTCTACCATGTCAAATGCTTACCACCTAGCAAGCCCTCAGATCTGGCCTGGAAGGCTGCCATTTTCGTAGAGTGCCGGACCATCACCAACACGTTGTGCCGGCCCAGTTCATTTCAAGCACTGTACGGTCAGATTGCGTATGAGGTAAGAATTGTGGGATGGCCTTTGGTTGTTCGAAACGCTGCTATACGCTGTAGACAGAGCCGACAGTCCTTCGTCAAAGAGAGCTGTCTGGAGGTGCATGCTAGATGGTGATGCGTGCTGTGGAACTATCAGGACTCGGATAGAAAGAACCGCTGACAGATATCTCCCCATCCCTTGGTTTGGTCTGTAAGCTGACAACTGGTTTCTTGCATTGGTCGTTGAGGGAATTTGAGGTAGTTTTGATGGTCGGGATGGCGACATAGCATTGTCTAGAGTGAGACTTGCCCTCTCCCGTCCAGCCTGCTCAGGTGGTAGTTCCCAGGTCAAATTGCCCCAGGGGACCGGGCAAAAGTTTGGCTTGAAGGATTCGACCCGTCGATCGATGATATATGTGCACGCTGACTGTTGACCTCGCTTGGTCTGCGCCAGGCACCAGGGAGGCACCAGCAGGCACCAGTCTGCATGCCTTATCTGATATCTTGCTCTCACTTGCAGCACGTAGGGATATGTTAAGCGAGTCAGGGCTTCCTTCGTGGAGACACTGATCCACACCGGTAGAGGCTGCCCTAGGGACATGCCACTGAGGCGACGCTGACTCGTCTGAATGCTTGTTTTCCCTCGATCGAGTTCTCAAGCTGTCTAGAAGCTTGAAGGTAGTCCCGAAGAAAACGGATTAGTGGAGCACTAGCGTGCGGACTAGCCCGCCCTTAACGCCGATCGTGTACATCCCCGGAAGATCATCACTCGAGCCTCTCGACTGGGGAAATGAAGCTTTAGATGCGGTGTAGCACGATCGACGTCTATACATGAACCGGGGTGTACATATAAAGGCGAAGATGTGTTGACAGGGATTCCCTATCTCCTACAACGCCATTCCCACTCTTTCAGTCAACCACAAACCTTGTCCACAAGTAAGCCGGTAAGCTATCACAGTAGATGCAGTTACTTACCAATTCCAAACCTCTAGAATTCTCATCGTCTCTGAAACCATGCGTCTTCACTCTGTCCTCTTTTGTCTTACCTTTTCCACGGCTGCCGTTGCCAAAGGGTGCTCCTACGACGGCTTCCAAGAATGCGTGACCTATTACGCCGATTCCGACTGCCATCACAGTATTGGCAACTACATTCCGACCTGTGAGGGAAACTGCTTCCAATTCAGCTCTTTCCAGGGACTGGTGGTGGAAGGCAACTTCATTCATGGCACCGACTGCATCGTGTACTCAGACCCGTACTGTCAAAATGAGATCGGTGTCACTCCGAATGCGATCAACCAGAACATCGATTGTCTTTCGTACGGCGAAGCACAGTCGATGAAATGTTACTTCGACTGTTGAGTGGGGGAGATATCGGATAAGCGGGAATCACGCCAATGTTCAGCTGAGGGTTGTTGCGAAGGTCAGATACCATTGCTGCGGGGAGATAATGCGTGTTCATGATGAATTTACCCGCGCTTGCAGTAGAGGGTTTGGAAATGTACATAGGGACCAATTACGTGACAAGCATCGGATATATTCCGTCATAGTAGTACAGCGTCAATTATACATAATACATTAGTCATACCACGCTCGAAAACAAGCCCTTACTCATCCGGACCGCCCATCTGGTTCAGCTTCTGCCCGGCGGCCTCCTTGCCCTGCTGCGACACACCGGGGTTGTTCTGCGCACTGTGGGAAGGACGTCAGGTTTTATTATCAGGACAGGGTTGTGAGGAAGGATGCTTACGCTTTGAGTCCACCCGCGACGCGGTTGGGGTCCTTCTGGTTGTCACCACGGAGGTTGTGCAACTCGTCCGAGGGCTGAGAGCCGCCAAGCTGGTCGAGCATGGACTGAGCGTTCTGCTTGGCCTCATCGGAGACTCTGGGGTTGTTGATGGTGCTGCGTGATCATCAGAGACGGCTCTTCTCTTGATTGTGAATGAAGATGACTCACGCCTTGTAGCCACGCATGGCATTGACTCTGTCTTCAGCGGAGGACATTTTGAGAAATTGTTGTAGAGAATGGAGTGTACGGTGGGCGAGATGTGATCACTTGGTTGAATTGAAAATGAACAATTGCCTCGACACAACCATGGTATACTTATACCTTCGAATGCAGCCAGCTGCGTTTGATGTCAGAGCGCGTCACCCACCCCGCGTCGTCATTCTTTCATCGTCCACCCAGTCTTTGGGGAAGTCGAGGTCAAATTGACTTCATTGCGGAGACATGACGAGGAGGGTAGGTAATCTATGCTGGGTGAAATCTTGGGTCGACCCCTGTGCATGGGGATTTTGCATTGGTCGATTCGTCCATCGCCCGATCGAAGCGATCGAAGCGTTGATCAGGGTTGGAGGGTGGGGGACTGGGGATTCTAGAACTCTGGATCGCCGGGAGGTGCTTGTTTCGGGATGGGGGGGGGGGCCGATCTACTAGCCGTGGACTGGGCGAGATCAATTTGCAATCATCACTCAATGTTGTATCTACTGTAGAACCGAAATGGCAGACTCAACAACCATTTCTGTGTTGATCTCAATTCATAGACTAGTAAAGTTCTGTGTGCTGAGCAAACCCTTGGCTCCCTTACAAAAGGCCGACGTCATGTCGATGTGTCTGTGTTGGGACGGCCAGGCCCTTTTCTGCCACCGCCCAGATTGAACAGGTTTCGCCAGCCGATTTTTCTGGACTGTTAGCTCTTATATCCGCTTAAATCCGCGGTTTTCGTTGCGAGGTCGCGAGCGTTCTGCCGGTCCAGGCGGTCTGAGTGGCGGTCGAAGGTTCAACGGAAGGTCTGGCAGATACTCACCGCTTTGTGCATCCTCCGCCTCCCAGCGCAGCGCAGCGCCAAGCACCGCTGCATTTGTTGTCATTGCATCGTCTTTTCTTGGGGGCGGGGCTCTTGCCTCTGGAGCTTGGTCCGGAGTATAAAGTCTTTGTCCGAGTAATGCACCTCTCTCACCATCCAACAGACCTCAATGGTTGACTGCGATGGAACGCAACTTTGGCACTACCCCGGAGACACCAATTCTAGCTCCCGTCGCAGGATCGACCCTGACGCGTCTTACCCCTTGGTCCCTGCAGCGACAACCTCCGCTTCGGACATTCCTCGCGCTATGCTAAGCTACAAAGCTAGCCCCGTGATTCCCTGCACGATTCCAACACACTCGTCAAGTGAATCTCATCAATCTCCTCCTCTATCCAGCCGCGTAGCGCCTAATTGCATCTGGATTCAATAGCACTCCCACAGTTTATCATTAGCGGTCAATCCTCTTAAAATAACATCCAGTCAAACATATAGAAGGGTACAGTACTATCAGCAGCAAGAGGCCGAGTCTAGCCCTGTACCTTGCCTTAGACACCCTTCCCCTTCCCCATCCAGGCACCGCGCCCCACAAGCGGCATGATATCGAATTCCAGAGGCACCAAACCCACCCCCCTCTGCTCCCCATACCAGACAACATGAACATAAATATCGATAGATTCCGTCGGCCCATGCGCTGGGGCGCTGCTCACTCGGTGCCTGGACCTTTTGACTAAAGTCCGCATACACTTTTCTTTACCTATTCCTACCTACTCCGTGAGTATACCCTTACCCCTGCCAGTTACATCCACACTAAGGATATACAACCTCACACAATGACTGACACTGATCGCAGAGCCAAATTCTCCTACCTTCTCCAGTACTCCCCCTCACAATGCGCCTCCTTCACCAAGCCCTAACGGTGTTCCTCGCCGCCGTCCTCCTCGATACCGCCGCCGCCGCCGACTGTCGCCCTGGCGCCACCCGCCCCGACCGCTTCGACTGCCACGCCTACCACCGATGTGACGCGGGAGAGTTTGTACGGCTGCACTGCGCCCCGGGCCAGGCCTACAGCGTGTACACCGGCACCTGCGAGCCGGAGTGGCGGTCGCCGGGGTGTCATCAGGGGGTGACCCAGGAGATTCACTGAGTGTGACTTATCTTTGTGTTCAGGGGATAGTATGATGTATGAGTGGAGTTCCACGCCCTTCGAACTGTGATGGTCCCCATTCTTTCTTTAAACTTCAATGTGTGGTCACACGTGCGCGCTTCTCAATGGAAATAATCTACGGCCATGGCGACGAGCCCCATTAAACTGCAAAACAAATGTATTGGTATCATGTCCTCTCTATACGACTACTAAAATGAATCTCTATCCTCCCTACCCGCCGAATTTACAAATGGTACTGAGACGGGGCACTCTCCTGGAACCCCAGACGATTCCACCACCGGTCCACGCCCATATCTTCCTTCGAACTGCACACTGTGTTAGCTGGGCCCTTATGCACACGCAGACATAAACTTACTCCCAGGACTCCTTGATCTCGGGCTCCGTCTTGCCCTCCGCGAGATTCGGGTTACGGAACACGATATTGTATTTCTAAAGCCCGTATGTTAGCATCTACACTTCCCAACAAAAAGGAAGGAAGGGATGGGTAAACTCACCAAGCCAAGCGTGATGTGGATCGCCATCGGGAACGGCGGATACACCTCCTCGGGCGTCTTCCCCTCGATCATCGCCTGGATGTTGTGCGCCACCGCGGCGGCCTGGGGCCCGCCGGGGCGGGCGGCCTTGCGCAGCCCCGTGTCGGCGATGTCGCCCACCGCGAACAGGTTCGGGTACTGCGGGTCCTGGAACTGCAGGGTCGGGCGGATGCGGATGAAGCCGTTGGCCGGGTTGATGAGGGAGTCCGGCGACGAGGCGGGCAGGGAGCGGAGCAGGTCGTTGTTGGGCCTCTGGCCGGTGGCCAGGATGACGAAGTCGGTGGGGAGTTCGGTGCCATTGTTGAGCTGGACGGTGAATGGAGTGCCGTTGTTTGGGAAGCCGGATTCGGGGACCACAATGCGGGCGCCGGTGATGGTTCTGCGGAGGGTCAGGGGAGGAGAGACGAATAGAGGAAGGTTAGAGGGGCTACATACTTGATACCAAGCTCGTCGAAGCGCTTCTTAACGATCTCGTGCAGCCCCCGGTGGAATTGGGGCATGAGCTGGTCGCGCGACTGCACCACCGTGATCTCCTTCTCCGGGTACAGCTCCTTCATGTCGGTCGCCATCTGCACGCCTACGGCGCCACCGCCGACAATGACCACGGATCTCGCTTGCTTTACGTCCGCTTGGTGCTTCTGCAGGTATTGCACGGAGGAGACCTTGTCTTCGTCACGCATCGCGGCGGGCTCGGCGAGGCGCGTGCCCGTCGCGACGACGAGATACTCGTAGGGGATCTGGCTCTGGCCCTGCCAGGCGCGATCCAGATTGACATATTTGGGTTGGACGGAGAGGACGCGAGCCTGCACGACGGCGTGTTGGGTCGAGTTGGGGGAGGAGGCGAAGAGGCGGGTGTAAGGAATGAATGCTTTGTGTTCGTGGCCAGGCAGAACGGCGAATCGGGGCTGCTGCGGGTTAGTCTAGTGTTGTGGGGGCGCAAATAAATTGATTGACTCACAAAGGCAAAAAGATGGTGGAAATGGCTGTGAGGTTCGATCAACAACACCTGTAGCGGAGTTAGTATATCGACAAAACGCCGCGGCGGGGCCGGGACTTACTCTGTGCGTGCTGGGTACTACCCGCGCCAGCTCCTCTGCAGCTCCCTGTTACAGTCAGTATTCACTGCAGTTGATGTTGAAAACGCCGCGGAGAAATACCCTTCCAACGTAGGACCCGCCAACTACAATAACGTTCTTTAGTGTCGAGGCGGCCATGGTGGCTTGTTGTGTATTCCAATTGTTCGAGATTTTGAGGACCAGGGAAGACAGAATCAGCGATATGGTCAGAGTTGAGAGTAGAGTCGCGATCCAAGACCTTCTTGAATTATCAAGCAGGAAGAGCGTGAGCAAAAAGCGAGTGCGCCGTGGGCAGGCTCCAAATATATAGGCGGGAGAAGACTGAGCCGGGAGGGCACTGCACGCGGAGAGCATCTCCTTATCTGATCGTCCGGGCTCGGTCTATTGGTCGCCTGCCTATCCTGGCCATCTCCGAGACTGAGGCCCGCCATCGGCTCCCATCCGCTGCCGGTGGCGTCATCTGCCTGGTTTGCGCCGAGGCTCGGGGTTAGGATTTAGTTAGATAGTTAGACTCTAAGGGCATGTCTAGATGAGCGACGGCGTTGAATGAAGGGTGTAAGCCATATTCTAGACTGCTATTTGCTCCATACGCCCTCTTAGTTCAACAATCTGTGGTTTGCAATCATGGGAAGGAAGACAGATGCCAAGTTATAACAGCCTTGGGGCCTAAGGCAAAAGCAGCAGCCAAGCCAACGACGGCAGTTAGTCTCGGCTTTAGCCCTCGGATTTTCGGCTTTCCGGCTCGGAGTGGGGGATGCCAGAGGCGAATGCTTCGGACCCCCATCAAAGCACTTTGTTTGAGTCCGAGATCTCGAATCGAGGGCTCGATCACCATTCGCACCATGGGTAGGACCTTGCACCACAAGGACAGCTCATCAGTGGAAGTGACTATCGTGGAGAACTAGGTGGCTTTGATCACGGATCTGATAGCCAGATCCGACGTTAGCCGCACCGGATGGATAACTACTCCACTTGTTGCCGACATCCTGTAAATCAGAGGATCCGTCATCGGGAATGTGGGGGACTGATATCTTAGTGTCGCAGAAAGGCAAGTTGTGAGGAATAAATGCCCACGAGGTACTCACATTCTGAATGCTGAATGTTGGAGAGTAGTTTGGGTGTCTCACATCCGTACCACATTGTCTGCGTCCACGACCTCCCCCAAGACTCATGCAGGGGCCACAACCACTCAGGCCCCGGATTTCCAGGTCCCGATGGCTTATAGTAGATGGACACTAGGTAGTTTCCACGCAAGTCTGGTGTAAGACAACGTTCGTGGTCCGCTGCACGGCTAGCAAGGATCTTTCATTTGAACCTACCTTGACCCCAGTCCCGACAGGAGGGTTCAAACAATGAATGGACGGGTGAGCGCTCAACCCAAGGTCCGATATGGACCTACGATGAGCGCGATTGAGCATTGTCCCGGAGCGACGTCGCTTGTGACGATGGATAGGGCAGGTCTGGTGAGAGACTCTAGAAATGATCACGTCCCCGAACTGTCCTGAAGGCCCCTTCTTTGCTGTTTTTGTCGGAGTCAAGATTGTCCGCTCGGGCTAGGACTGAGAAGGGTACCAGGGTACACCACCTACGAGTACGGTAACTTATTATCCGCAGTTTCCTGAACACTTGGCATACACCCTTGACTTCCGACTTGATCAACAGAGCCCCAAGTCCAGGAAAGATCCGCGAAGAGCCAGCCACAGCCACATTCGAAACGGGGAAATGCCACCATGCATTTTCGATTGTCGAAAAGGGTTAAAGGACACTGTGATCTCTCTCACCTTGGCACTTCAAAATAGGAAATAACACTAAAACAAAAAAAAAAAAAAAAAAAAAAAGAGCAAGGAAGCAGGTGCCGAGGATCAAAGCAAACGGGTTCGGGAAGGCTCGATGCAGGCTGCCGCTAAGCAGGAAGCACCTATAAGACGAGCATGTTGCCATCCCTGAATGACTCTGTACAATCACTGTTGGTTCCTCAGTGGATGTCCAGACTACTCAACATGCTCATCGTGAGCCACCTTCTCCGCCTGATAGCCCTTCTGTGGGCTGGCACCCCCTTCACAGGGGCTACCAACATGCCTCGTGGGTATAACAAGCCGCTGGCGCCAAATAGCGATCCGTTCTATACTCCTAACGATGACAGCTGGCGAGCGCAACCTCCGGGTTCCATCCTCAAATCCCGCCAAGTGACGATTGACTCGGCTCTCTTGATCCCCAAAGGCCTTGCCGCAGGGTATCAATTGCTCTACCGGACCACCAATGCCCACGGTCTGCCCAACTACGCAGTGACGACGATCCTGATCCCGTTCGGGGCCAAGCTGGATCGTTTCATCTCCTTCCAGACCGGGTACGACTCGGCCAACAATGACTGCGGCCCTTCGTACGGGCTGCAATTTGGCGCCTCCACGAATGCCAGCGAAGCCCTCATCGAGCTGGCGGTCGGGATGCTCCCATACCTGGAGAAGGGGATTCCGCTGGTTGTTCCGGACTATTTGCAAGTGGATGCGGCGTTCGCCGTCGGCCCCACGACAGCATACGGGGTGCTAGACTCCATGCGCGCCGTGCTCCGCTCGACACACATCACCGGACTGTCGGAGAATGCAACGATCACCATGCAGGGATACTCGCAAGGTGGCTTGGCTGCAGAATGGGCAGGTGAATATCGCAGTTCCTATGCGCCGGAAGTCCACATCGCCGGGGCCGCGATCGGGGGTATGCCGGTCAACATCTCCGAGGTCTTCATCGGTGTGGAAAAAACCCTCAGCTCGGGATTAGCCGCCGGGACTCTGGTCGGGATCGGCAATGCCTACCCTGAGTTCAGAGCGTACGTGGACGAGCATCTCATCCCCAAGTATCGACCGCTCCTTGAAATCGCACGGAAGCAATGCGTGGCCGACTTCTATAAGACCGTCTATGGTTATACTGTCCAGCTTGCATTCAGAAATATCACGGACTGGTTTGACACCGGACGAGGCTTCATTGCAGACAACCTGGACTTGTTTAACGAAATCGGGGTGCTCGCACTGCACGGGATGCCGGACTTCCCAATGTTTGTCTGGAAGGGGACGGACGATGAAGTCGCGGTGGGCATTGAGGAGCATGATGCCCTGGTGCAGGCGTGGTGCGATGCGGGAATTCCCATCCAATACCTGCGTGTGCACAAGACTCTTCACACGCCTAGCATTCCGCCGGGTCTGCCGGGGGCGCGGGCTTTCATGATGGATGTTTTTGAGGGAAATCCTCCGACTGAATGCACGACCGAGGACAAGTTTGGCACCGGCGATGAGTAAATAAACTATCTTTAGGGAGGAAAGAACGCCATCGATGGTCGATGACCCCATAACGGCATCAGTCCTAAATGGTATTGTTAGCAGCTATGTTAGCAAACTGGATATGCCCTACTAGGCCCCTCATCTTATCCACTTGCTCGCAGACGTTCCTTGTTTCCATTCAACCGGTGCAATCGAACCAGGCCGTAGGGATGCTGTCCGAAATTACGATGTTGGACGAACAGCCAGGCGATAACATGGTTTCGCGTCGTACGTACCA